AGAGCGAGAAGAGTCCTGCCAAGAATACTGGCAAAAGTCCCTCAAAGAGCCCCTCAAAAAGCCCCCCTCAACATGCGCAGGTGAATGTTGCAGATACCGGTATTCTGGAACCTACGCATTGGCAGCAGCTTGCCGAGGTGAGATACGGCCGACAAATCAACAGGCTTACGGGTTTCATGTTGGTCGCTTATATGCATATTATGCTGACATGATTATAGGAGGAGAATGCCAACGTAGACGATGATGCTCATTCGCTGAGCGAAGAAAGTCTCGCGTCCTCAACAGATTCAGTGTCTTCTAGTATTTTCGAATATCGCAAGCTCCATGGGAGGACATATCATAGGGAAATTGGCAGTTCGCAGTACTGGTAAGGTACTTCGGTGTGTATTCTTCGTGATCCGAGGCTCACTCAAATAGGGCTGCAAACGATGAAAGACAAAGCGAACTACTCGACATCAAGTGAGTTGAGCCGCGATTTATATTCATTGTGACGACTGACTTCTACTAGCCACCACTGTCTGACCCTGGGTATTGGAGGAAAGACGCACCTCGCGCCCCTTGACACTGAGAAAATCACAGTGAGCGACGAATGGATAGTCTCTCAGACATGATTAAATGCTAACGTATTTAAAAAGAAAGCACTTGATATTGGAACCGGTACCGGTATGTAAAACCTACCTCGATTATGCTGTGTGCTAGCTAACATGCCATTTAGGTATCTGGGCTTTGTAGGTCCCCAGAATGCAATTCGAGACGCGCGCTGACCTTCGGCAGAGATTTTGCCGATGAGTATCCTAACGTTGAGGTTATCGGCACCGATGTATCGCCAATCCAGCCCTCCTGGGTGCCACCGAATCTGCAATTGTGAGTCGCCTGAACCAATTCCAGGCTCTTCATTGCTCCTATTGACATGTTTTCAGTGAGATCGAAGACTGTACCCAAGAGTGGACATTCGCGCCCGACTCAGCTGACTACATCCACATCCGCTGGCTCATCGGCAGTATTCCTGACTGGTACAAGTTCTTCCGTGAGGCCTACAAAACCTGCAAGCCAGGTGGTTGGGTCGAGAGTTTCGAACCTTCGGGTATTATCACCAGCGACGATGACACAGTGAAGGAGAGCTCTGCGCTGGGCCAGTGGGGTAAGCTGTTCATCGAGGGGGCCAAGAAGTTAGGTGTGAGCTTTTCTATATATGAAGAAGAACTGCAGCGGAAAGCCATGGAAGCTGCTGGCTTTGTTGATATCCAGCAATTCGAGTACAAGGTACGCAACCCATGTATGAAGTCGCGCACAATGACTGATAACATTCCACTACAGACTCCAATTGGCGGCTGGCCCAAAGATCCAGCGCTGAAAGAGCTCGGCCAGTTCGGCAAGCTTGCGTTCCTTGCTGATCCCGAAGGGTTTGTGCTTTTTGTAGCTAACACAATCGGTTGGACGGAGTCGGAAATTCATGTGTTCCTTGCGCATGCTCGGAGGGAGATTCACTCGGGCAAGCATCATCCTTACTATAAGCAGCGAGTTGTTTGGGGCCGTAAGCCTGAAGAGTAATCAGATATTCTGTTTTAAAGGCTCGGGTTTCTTACATAAGTGCATTTTCTGATGTTGAGAGTGGTCCTGTCAGCGGTGAAGATGGTATCGCGCTACTGCACTCAAGCAGTCTGATTTAGTTGTTGATATTTTCATTTAATACACGAATTCTGATTGAAGGCTTTCTCTAATTATTGAAACGCATCATAGGGTTGTGTTGCACATGAACTATTGATTCAATCATGGAGATCTCAAGCTTGGGCTGAGAGTGAGGCCCAGATCCACTATTTCAAGGGAGGCCACCAAGCTACATACGTTCGAGACGGAAAAATTACCAACATGCCCGACCCTACCAATGATTACAGTATCACAGCCAAGGAAATCTTACTTTCCTCGGGGTTTAATTTATCAGCTGGCTGATAAATTGATAACGGCATCGGGCCTTGTCTGTTGTATATCTAAAGCTATTGCAAGATGGGGCCGGCCGTGGTGAACCAAGCAAACCCCATTATTTGTAAGGTGCAATCATTTTACCACCGTTCAATGTATTATCAAAATGACGATTCCCGAGAATTTTAATAGCAAAGTCACCATCACTCACATTACAACAGCAACTGCGATTGTTGATATCGATGGTGTCAAGTTCATCACTGATCCCATCTTCGACGACGCTCCTCAGAGCCATGACCGGTCACAAGCAATTGGGCTAAAACCGGGAGAGTTCTTCCTCACCATGCAAGAAGGCCCCGCTATACCAATCAGGCAAATTCCTATCATTGACTGCGTCTTGCTCAGTCATGAAGATCACGTGGACAACCTGGATGAGACAGGCCGTCAACTCCTCATCGGCCGCAGAGTCATTACTACGCCCGACGGTGCAAAGAACCTATCTGACTATCCTGGCACATGCGCTATCGAGCCGTGGCAAACCTTGAAGTTCCGACTTGGAGGCGAAGAATGGAGCATTACTGGTGTGCCTTGCGTCCATGTCCCAGGCGGCCAAGTCACTGGCTTTCTCTTGCACAAAAAGTCCTTCGGTACGAGCCCAGATGGACGCCCAAATGTGGTTTACTTCACTGGCGACACTGTATTCATGGAGGATGAGTTCAGGAAGCTTCGTGAGAGATATCATGTCGTGGTTGCACTCACAAACCTTGGACAGGCAATGTTGCCAAGCCCCAAGAGTCCTACAGGATTCCTAAAGATCACGATGGGAGGGGAGGATGCCGTGAGAATGATGGAAGTTCTGGAGGCCGATATCCTTGTTCCCATGCATTTTGAGTCGTGGACGCACTTTACGCAGGATGGTAAGGCTTTGGAGGAGATCTTCACTTCCGGAGGTCTGGGGAATAAGGTCAAATGGTTGTCTTCAGGCAAAGAAGTCAATGTTGTCTAGTTCGTCGAAGATAGTCACCAGCCTCTGAGAGACAGTGAACAGAATGTGCAAGGAATGGCAAGCAAAGTTCAATAGAAAGCAAAGACTACTTGAATGTCATTTTCCTCGAGCCTCTCTCTCACCTTTCATGACTGAACAAATCCAAGACCCTCCGGATGATACAGCAACAATTCGGCCTCCGCTCGCTCGCCAGGTCCCGAGACCGAGTAGTTTCCCATTTGAAACATGATACGTACCCACCAAAGGATATCGAACAATTCCTTTTGAAGCACGCAGCACCAGATCATATTCACGAGGAATGATGAGCCTCTGTACCACGCAAAGTTCCGCTGAAATCTCACCAGGTGATGTGAGAGCTTGAAGAATGGATGTCCATTCGGGTGCCGTGACATCGTCTCCGAAAATGATGCCATTACCTTTGCCGCTGCGGATCAGCTTGAGGATGTAGCCGTGTCTCAAGTCGGGAGAATTGAGGCACACTTGCAGCAGACCTTTCAGCTCGCGAGAACCAGGAAGGAATGTTTCCACGATGCCGAGACGTAAGGCTTCAGCTTGAACTGCGGTGACTACTCCTCGCGCCACTAGCTTCGGGATCTCCTGTCTCACAATGCCCAGCATCCGCTTGTCATGTACGAGAAGTATAGTTCGCATGTCATTAAAACACCGCAGGCTGATTTGACGTAGCATTTCCGGCTTAAGAGCCATGAGTTCCCGCTGATGTAACTCCAGCCCAACTTGATGTATCTCTTCGTAGATTTCACCATTTGTAGATACAAATCTCCAGGTGTTGGGGACTTGCCCATCGCGATCGTGTATGACACAGCACAGCCGAAACCCGCTTTTGTTGCGTGCATCCGGGAATAGTCTGAGATCTGCGGGGGTAATGAGCCGTGGCTTTACGCCGAAACGATGTTGGACAGCATCGATAAACATGTGGATATCAATGCCTTTTTCGGCACCTTTGAGAAGATGGAGTGGACATCCGGGATCAAACAAGCTGAATAACCCCTCCAGTATCTACTCGTGTCAAAACAAATAAACGAAAGGTGCATGGGTATTGTCTTACAGTGTCCGGGTCAGTCGCGGAGATGAGCTCCGTCTCCGCGCTCTCTATGCTCTCGTTGGTTGCCGCCTGGCCATAAGCCTCATGCATGAACCCGTTAAACGAGAAACGCGCATTGATTTCCGTAATGCAGTAGTTTTCTTCGCGCTCGCTGTTGTCCTCCACGAGAAAGTCTGGGCGCCATGATCCCCGACACTGCGAGAACTGCGGCAGGTTCCCGATGATGATTTGGCCCTCGATCCACTGTATGTCATGTCAGCTGCCACCTCATTTCTCTTTCTGTCTCAAAGACGATGGATTGACGTACTTGCAGAAGCTCCTCCTCTTTAGCCTCTAGCGGCATACGCTCGGGAAACTTTGCGTCTCTGTCACTCCACCAGCGTTGCACAACATCCGTGATGGCCGCTGTCAAAGCTTCATGGAGATTTTTCAGCTGCTGTTGGTGATGTCGGCCCACTAGGACAGGCCGCGGACATCCTGCCGTGTAAGAACCCTTGTGCCAGAGATTTGCAGGGCAAAGCTTCAGCAGCTTTTCCTGGAACCGAGCTTCTTCACTAGAGAAGGGTGCGACGTCGAAGCTCTGTTGCGATATGGACCGAACTTCTCCATGACCTTTCCCGATGGGGATCTGTGTAAGTTGCTCAGTTTGCATAGTATACGAGTGAATTTACCGATATGAGTCTAAGTCATCAGATGCTGGATGACATCGCCTAAGACTATTTATGCTTATGGAGGGGTCATCATGTAAACGGAGTTAGTTTCTATCTTCGTCCTGTCACGTCCAAGATCATGGCAACCATTGATGTAGCTATTTTTGAGACAATAAAGCCACAGGGAGGACTGCATTGGTGTCAAAATGGGGATGGCCGTAGAATAGTCAGCTCCAGCCAGAGTTACGAGAGGTCATTCCGGTACGTACTTCGACGAACGTCGATAATAGACTGAATTTCCTCGAACGGCTCTGTTATCTCCAGATCTTGTTCCATCACACATCCTGCTATGTCTTCCGCCATGACGCATAGACTTTCGCGTCTTACAAGATTCGGCATCCTTGTGCCGACATATCCTTGCCATTTCATTCGTTCCCATGGCACACTAAAGCGCAGTCCTCGGGTTCTTGATGCACCACATATCTCCTGTGCGCGTGATCCTGGACATGTTTACGAAGTTGCAGCAGAGCTTCAGTCTTCCGGTCTACTCAAGATCTGTCTGGGCTTTCCCGATGAATCTTCTGACTACCTTCGGGATCTTATCTTGAGTATGCACAAGCATCATGGTCATCACTTGCCGATTACTCATAGTGCGACAAGAGGCTGGTTCTGGGATGTGCGGCCGAAACCAGCCGCCGCTACAGGAGTTCATCAGGCTCGCTCTGAAACTATGAGTGAATTCTCATGGCACACCGACTGTAGCTACGAGGATCCACTGCCGCGATACTTCGCGCTCCAGGTTCTACAACATGATCGGTATGGAGGTGGCACCCTCTCTGCGATGAACGTAGCCAGCCTCATTGGGTTTCTATCACCGGAAACACGAAAAGCCTTGATGGCGCCCGAGTTTCGAATGCAAATCCCACCGGAGTTCATAAAAGACCCTGAGAAATCATTTATTACTGGCAGCATTCTCGTCCCGGATCCACACTCAATAATTATTCGCTACAGGCACGATATTATTGAGCCACTAACTACTCGGGCTGCAAAGGCACTTGAAGAGCTGAGCGCAGTATTGGTGCGGCGCGAAGCACAGGCGTCTTCAACAATGCATCTGAAGCCCTCTGAACTGCCAAAGGGGTCGATTATCTTGATGGACAACCGCCGATGGATGCATGCTCGGAATGAAATCAGGGATCCAGAGCGCCACCTTCGGAGGGTGAGATGGGATGCACGAACATTCAGTATCTCCAATCGGGATACTTAGAGCGGGGAAGGGCAAGACGAACCAATAGTTCAAACAGGACTGAAACAAATAGTTTTTCACAGACAACAGGTTCTCGGCTATGGATTGCTGCATGTCTATTTGTAGAAAATGCCTCCGCATCATGTAAGTCATCCGAAGGATCTCTATCCGCTATGAACAATTTGATACGGAGCCAATTATGAGTACCAATCGATCCGCGAGATTTGCATCAGACAAGTTCGCCTTTGGGACGAATAGCTAAAAATAGCTTGTTGAAGTACTAATAACCTTTTACGTATTGAGCCTCTTTCAGCCTCTTGGGAAATTCGATCATTTCCCTGCATGAATTACTGCTTTTGCGTCAATTTTCTAGGTTACAGTAACACAAGATGCAGTAATTTAGTGGTTTTCGTGGTCCATGTCTGGGTAAACTACTAAAGATATTCGGACCCAGCCTTGTCTCGGGCAGGGCCTCTTCCGAGACATTTGACAGCTCAAGCCACGGCAACGATACACGGGCCACTGAGGCAACTTTAGCCGATGGTACTAAACTTCTTGTTGACAGTATGCAAGGTGAAAAGAGGCTCGAATGTTTCTCATGGTTAAGCAATCTTATAATTCGGCCGGGAACCGACTACGGATACTACCTTGACACAAACAGTTTGTGCTCGCTGCTGAAGTTCAGGATGTCCCCCAGCCCGACATATTCATTGGCAGACGTCCTTGCTGTTGCACAAATACACCCATTCTACTGCTCTACTCAGTACCCACCAGACGATAAGACCATTCAGGATGCAAGAGAGAAAGCAGCATCGAAGTACGAGCGGCCTGACTTGAAGTCATGGCCGTTGCTTCGGAAAGCCGATTTGTAAGTTTTTCACACATTCCATAGGCAGTATCTGATGGCATCAGATATACCGTAATTGAACGGCTTATCAATGACACCGACGCGAGGAACACGTATCGCCACAATGTCTACACCAGCGTTACGGGCGGAGGTGGAGGTGTATCAAAACCTTTGTTCTTTGCGACAGATGCGCTTGAGAATCGTCGTCATAGGGCCCTCTTTGGCGATTTTCTCAAGAAGACCGGCATCATTGAACGTGGGGACTGGGTCCTGTCGACTCATCATGGCGGCAGCTTATACAGGTTTGCAAAAGCGTTGCCATCAACGAAGCATCACCGCTAACGTCCTCCTAGATCGCTTGATCTAACACTGGAGATTTTGGAAAATGCCGGGCTTCTGTGCTCGCCGCTGGGCACCAATGTACACCTGCTACTGTGGTACAGATCTTGCAAGACTTCAGCGTCAATGTCCTCGCTGGCGACAGCAGTCAGATCATATCAATTGTTCACCATATATCGACCATTCCAGATATAAAAGATAAGATCAAGATCAGAAAAGTGATCTACACGTCAGAAGGGCTTTCTTTGATACAGAGAGTCCAAATCTATAAGGTGCTTGCCCCGGTCGCCATATACTCCATACTTGGTAGTGCAGAAGCTGGGCCTTATGGAGCTAGCAGTCCCTTTCTCGTTGATTTTGACCCCTGCTCTAACCATAATGATTTCGTTATCGATACGCGGATGACAATCATTGAGGTTCTCCCTCTATCTTCCGCGGAGAGTGAGAGCGACGAGATCCCTAAAGTACTCTCGGACGGAGAAACAGGTGTCATCGCACAAACGGCGCTGACACGTCTGCGCCACCCTGTGATACGTTACATCACTGGCGACATCGGTTCCCTTCATCCTTTGCCACAAAAATCTGTTGGTCGGCTTGCCAAACATGATGTGCCTCATTGCCGCATTCTTCGCCTGCAGGGCCGCGACCACCGCTTCAGTTTCATGTGGGATGGGTGCGACTTTCAGTTCGACAAGCTCAATACAATCTTATCTGACCCTCAGTCGGGAGTTCTCCTGTGGCAGGTGATACTAGACAAGATGCAACCGTCTCAAGAAATTTCGTTGGAGATTCGTCTGCTGAGCGGCCAGAGCTCGGGGGATACAGCGCACTTTCAGACCCTTTTGGATCGGCTGAAGGCCTGTCTTGATGTCAATGATTCGAATGAGCACAAATTCAAGGTCACATTTGTCAATGACGCTCTGGGGTTTGAGCTGAGTGGGACTGGGCGAAAGGTTATTCGGTTTGTTGATCGCTCACTGTAGCACTGAGTGGTAGCGCAAATTATTGTCAAAGGTCTACATAGTAATAACGAGGGATTACCCACCATAATCAGCGGCGGACTGTGAGTTTTCACTTTCTTCCTCTATGATGGCCATGAATCATGAAAAGGAGCAGTGTGCCTGTTCTCAAATCCTGTGATAGGACCGAGAGGCAAGAGAAATTCAAGAACTGTTTCGCCGGTGGCATAAAGGCTTGGACAAATTCAGTCTCATCATAGTAAGCGTCTGCATCAGTTTATTTTAGTGCACTAGCCTAATATCAGAAGTTCTTTTCTCCTTGGAAGTGGTTCTGTTAATAGTCACACAGGTAACACGGGCGGGCATTCCCAAGTAGAATTCATGAAGAAACCTTTTTTCCCCTTCTTCTTCTTCTTCTTCTTTTTTCCCCTTCTCTTTTTTTTCTTTTCTTTCAAGACCCTGCAGTAATTACTGAGGCTGGTGTTACGAGTTTACGTACGTATGGTATTACATCCATCGATGGAGGAGCCTCGTAACCTCTTACTTCAGTCACCTTCCCCTTACATGTCAGACGTTGGACTTTCCCTTTGAAAATTGTTCCTTGTGATTACCTTGAAATGGTTTTATCTGGAGCCTCTCAGAAAGAGCAACTTCCCCCAAACCTTGCGTCGCTCCTACCTGAATTCCTCTCATCACCTCAAGGCACTTGAATTCAGACTTGATCTCCTCCTCAGGCCCAGGATCCTAAACTTTGCAAAGATTTAGGCTTTTCATCATAAGCTTAGGCCACGTATCCTAAGCCCCGCAAAGACTTAGGCTTGTTATCATAAGTTTAGGGCACTATTTATCAACTTACGATGAGTCCGACCGGGGTCTACCCCGATTCCCTCCGAGCACTCCCTTTGCATCAACCGCACATCTATCCACCTGGAGCACCTCACGTAAGTGCCCTGGACTCCAATTCAGCATCAGCGCTGACATTTTCCAGGCAGTTAGCTCTTCGCTCCCAACCTGGCAGGACGTCAGAGATATTGCGCTCGCAGACAGGACGATGTTGGGACTCAATTGACTACAGCTACCCAAGGTGAGACCCCCCTAACGAATCTTGTTCACATCTGACGCTAGGTATCAAAAGGCTCTTCATCTGCCTCCCTGTCCGATCGCTCGCCAAACTTGTCATAGAACGGTTAACATCCGTGGACCTTCCGGACTGCTATACCTTTCCATCTTCTGATGACGTAGACGACTACGTCGCACAATTACGGCACAAGAACATGGCCGCCGAACACGTCCGTTTTCGCTCTCCAGCACCACAGCCAGTGGACTCAGAGAATACAACTATGTACCTTGCGTTCTCGGCGTTATTAGTTGACCCCAAGTCCAGAGCACACGTAATGGATATCTGGGTAAACGAAGGCACTGGCATTACCACACGACACGCCGAATACTGCTTGAATCATTTTGACGAACTCAGTTCAACCTCCCCTCTGCCTCAGTTCAACACACCGGCTGCAAGGGTGCCTTCCCATGACCCATACTCTGCAGAGTGGATTTACCGTGGCGCATCGGATCTTGCAGGCCTGCAACATTATATCGCTCGCTTGGCGACCTCTGAGGGACCAGTGGAAAAGGCTGTAATGCCCGAAGACGTCTTCATCTTTCCCAACGGGATGAACGCAATTTACAACGCTTCTGAAGCACTCGCGATTAACAATCCAGATACATGCGTTGTCACCTTCGGGTGAGCTACGCTGTCTCTGTCACGAAACTTGATTCCAGTTGACCGTTCTTATTCTAGATGGATCTACCCTGAGACAATCACCAATCTTCGTCGGGGACAATGGGCAGAGGTCATACCCTTCAGACTGGGCCGTGAGAGAGGACTTGGATCAGCTTGAGCAAATGTTGTACCGCAATGAGAAGCAGATTTATGCTGTCTTCTGTGAGCTACCGAGTAACATCAAGTTGACTTCGCCCAACCTCAAAAGAATCCGAGATTTAGCAAGAGAATATGATCTCGTCGTCGTTTGCGACGAAACAGTTGGCAACTTTGTCAACGTCGACATCTTGCCATATGTCGATATCATAACGACGAGTTTGACCAAAATGTTCAGTGGAGCAGCAAACGTGACAGGAGGAAGGTATGTGATGCCATACAAAACGTTTAGGCTTGATGGCATTGACTGCTGACACATACCCTGATATAGCGTCATTATCAATCCAAATTCTCGTCACTATGGGAAGCTACTCGAGTCCATCAAAAGTCGATATGAAACGGTGTTTTGTTTCCCCAAAGACATTTCCGTCCTCAGACAAAACTCAGAGAACCTAGTGGAAAGGGTGCAGAGAGCCAACAGAAATACTATGAAGCTGCTCATGAATATTCTCACCACTCACCATTCAATTGCTCGCGTCAACTATCCATATTACGACCCAGACTTCGACAACTACGACGGGGTCCGCCGACTCAATGGAGGATATGGCAATGTCTTCAGTTTGGTATTTCGCAACCGGGGAACTGCTGAGCACTTTTACGACCATTTGGATGTTTGCAAAGGTCCGAGCTTCGGCACCAACTTCACAATCGCGATTCCTTTTGTCCAGCTGTCAGCATACAATGAGCAGGAAAAACTCGAAAAGTACGGTCTTCCGAAACATACCATCCGGATCAGTGTCGGGCTTGAGGATTACAAACTGATCCGTGCTAAGTTGAAGGAGGCATTGAAAGAAGTTGAAAAGTTCGAGGTGAGTCCTGGGTCTGCGTACTATGCCATTAGGGATCAGGCCATAGAAGAGTAGAAGTATGCGTTCTTGAGTTACCGAAAGGGCTACTAGTAGGCAGGTATTTTCAACTTAGAAGCATATTATTGCCGCGTCAGAATGGTTCTTTGTGTTCTTTAGAACGGTCTAATAATTGATCAGTATCGATGCTATCTACACCCCCAACTACCTCCCAGACGTTGCGACTTCATGACCATAGTATCAATCGAGGACGGCCTCCAGTCTTGTGCTCAGGTAGAAGTCCAATGAAGCTGCTGAGACATAGTCGTGGTCTGTACGGCAGACCGAGTTCAGGGCAAGGCTCTGGCTCAACTTTCTCAACCTGATGCATGTTCCTTGAGTTGAAGAACCATAGATCACCAACCTCCGGCTTGACTACGACATTCTGCCGGCCATGAATGATCTCATCACGATAGCCATAAGTGTCAGGGTCTCTAAAGTTGAGGCACTCCTCGCTCCACTCAACGTCATGAACCCAAGTCCTGCCACCCTTTACAGGCGCCATGTACAAGTTGAACACAGCCTGATGAGTGACCTGAGAATGAGGTTAGTTATAAGGATATTCCTCGGGATATCAACGGGGCGTGTGGAGGACAAAGAGGCTTACCTGATTGATGATCCAGTCCTCAGTAGCGGCATCATACGGTGTCCAGTCGCAGTGAAGACAAGTAGAATCGTTCAGGGCACGGAAGTTACCTGAGAAGTATGTCTTGCCCGGCCCTTCTGATGCACGAACGATCTCATATTCGGGTAGCAGTGCCCGAAGAGTTCCGATGACTTTCTCCCAGGCATTGACTCCTGTCTGATCTGCAACCTCTTGATGAAGCCCACTCAGAGACTGTGCGACCTTGAAGTACTCTTCCTTTTCTATCGAAGAATTCTGTTAGATCATCTTTTATACTAGAAAGAATTTGATCACACAAACCATTCTTGCGATTCTCAAAGTCAGCGGCAGCTTGCGCCTGGTACTCAAACTGCGCACACCCAACCCTCTGCAAAAGGGGTCCAGTGTAATACCTATATGGCGCAATTCTATGGCTCAACGCCTTCTCATGAGCAAAGCACTCCTCACGACGAAGGAAGCCAGCCTGCTTGATGACAGGTGTCCGGTTGAACAGGACATCGAGGAAGTTCTCTCCCGAAAGCGGCACAGGTGCTGTTCGTTTCCACTTGGATTGGTATGGGGGTGCTGCCCTGCCCAGAGTTGGGAGGGCGGGGGAGAAGACCTTTCCTGCGAGAGGGGCTCGGGAGAGGGTCCTTGCTGTGGCGGCGTATTGGGACATGATGGGTATGCAATGATGTATGATATGATGGCAGTGGGCTTACTACTGACTGGATGTTGGTTGAGTGTTCTGCTGCGAGCTCTTATAGTATCAGAGGCCTCAAACCCCCTGATAAGGGGGGTTTACCGTGAATAAGTATAAAGGTATTAACTTTTACCTCTTTAAAAGGATATGGATTCAGTAGATTTAATTTTAACACTTAATAATATTTATAAGTTAAGGATTTATATAGCTTTATTTAGAGATTTTATATATAACACTTATACTAAATATATTATTAAGATTTAGAAATATAAGTAAAAACTATAATAAGTTATTTTTCTTTGAAAGAGTAATTTTATAATAAATTTATAATATAAATAAATAATTATATAAGTAATAATAAGTAAATAAGTATTTAAGTATTAATTTATAACTAATAGAATAATAAAAGTTATTTAAATAAGGTATTAATACTTACCCCTCTAATAGAGAATGAGTAATATATTCTATAATGCTATTTTGAAGTTGTATCCTTATTAACCAGGCATCGTAGCCTAAGGTGTGTATATAACCTTATCCTCTCATCCCTCTCTCAAACAACATTCCCGGCTTACAAGCGGGACGGCCCATATCTGATACAACCCGCTCCACAGTTTCTTGGGTTGCATCTGTCTTATGTGCATACACGACTGTGCATTTCTGGGTTACCGGCAAGACGGCACTCAAGGGGGATTGGAAGGTTTTGATTAACGCAAGCATGATCTGATGGTCGCTTAGCAATATCCACACATATGATCTGATGTTGTCAACGTGCGCTTATAATCTTGCATGACGGCACACTGTATGTTGCAGATTCTTACATGCGAGATTACGGCACAAAGAACTGGGATTTGTTCCTGCGTGAAGAGGGCCAATCGCCATTCGTCTTGCGCGAGGCAGAAGGATCACTGTTTTGATAGAGTTGGAAGGATTGTGATGGGATTCAGAGAATACTCGGCTTGCGTAAAGATGGTATGATCACGGCTGATAGACGCGGCAAGAGGTGAGATGCCTAGACGTGAAGTGGGCGGGCGTCAGCGCTTCCCTGGCAGCTGCGTGCATCAGAAGATAATGGTCGTGCAGGAGACTTGGGAAAGGTACTTTCACTGTTTGTACCTTTTCCAGTCAGCATTTCTGAGAATCAGGCGGTATCAACTACCAGTTGTGAATAAGGCATTACATATGTGAAGCTTTACCGGAGAGCCTGGATCACAATGACTTTCACAAAACTGCGCTTCCAAGTCCCAGACTAGGAGCAAAACAAGACAACATGTCAAACTCTACAGGCTTTATCGCCGATTTACCTGGCCTTTTCACAGATATACCAGGCTTTGTTGCTGATATCCCCTCTCGGTTTGACTTCACCTCTATACCCGTTATCTTATCTTCCACTGTTGCTGTCCTTGCGTTCACATCCTTCATCAAATATGTCGCTGAGAGACAGCAAGAAAAGTCAATGGGCTTCGGCCATGTCCCAACTCTCTGGCAATGGGATCCATTCTATGGTGTTGACGCCTTCATTGCTATGCTACTAGCTCTGAAGAATAATCGCTACGTACCATGGCTGGACAGCTTACACGCCAAGATGCCCAAGACCTTTGCTCTCACTTTCCTTGGTGGCCGTCAGATTTGGACTATTGAACCAGAGAACCTCAAGACTGTGGCCAACAATCTTGCAGATTTTCAGGTTGGTCCAATTCGCTACAACAGCAAAGCTGGGCAACCTTTCGCTGAGAAGGGTATTGTAGGCGCTGATGGCAAGGACTGGGAATTCGCCCGCGCGCTTGTCAAGCCATTCTTCATGAGAGAGTGGTATGCCAATACTGAGCGAATGGAGCCTTTTGCTGAGAGATTCTTTGCGGGTATTCCTGCTGATGGCGAGACTTTTGATATGTTTCCCCATCTGCGAACCTGGTCATTGAATCTGAATCTCCAGTTCCTCTTTGGCGATTACTCAGATATTGTCACCGAAGAGGAGACCAATAAGACTACTGATGCGTTCATCACTGGTTTGGCATATGCACGAATTCGCCTTCTCTTGCACCGCGTTCTCTGGCTCTTCCCGTGGAAGACATGGTACAAGGTTGTTGGTACAATTCACAGTTATGTCAATAAGCATATCGCCAAGGCCCGTGCTGAACTCAAAGAGCGCGAGGAGCGCATCAGCAAGGGTCTTCCTGTTGGGCCGGAGAGACGAGATGTCTGCTGGCACATGGTTCGGGAGTTGCCGAATGACGATGAAGTCAGATCTCATCTGTGCTTGCTCTTTGTTCCCAACAATGAGACTACTCTGATCTTCCTGTCCAATGTGATGTGGAATCTGGCAAGGCAGCCTGAGATTTGGGAGCGACTGCGTGAAGAAGTGAAAGGCAAGGAATTGAACTTCAACAGTCTTCGCAGCATGAAGCTCCTTCAGAACGTTCTCACTGAAGCTCATCGCATCACCCCTGTCGGTCTCTTCATCGCCCGCGCCGCAGTTCGCGACACGACCCTCCCGCGAGGCGGCGGTCCCAAAGGCGACCAGCCCGTGCGCGTTCGCAAGGGTAACATTGTGCAGATCAACAAGGCAGTCATGTACAAAGACCCAGACTACTGGGGCGATGACGCCTTGGAGTTCAACCCGGACCGCTTCGATAAGATGCGCCCGGGGCTGAGTCTTACACCGTACAACACCGGGCCAAGACGATGTCCTGGTGAGATGATGACGATGAATGAGTGTGGGTATATGGTTGCTCGTATGGCGCAGACTTACAAGAGGTTGGAGTGTAGAGACCCCACGCCGTTTGTGGGTGTTTTCCGTATTGGGCAGTTGAATAAGAACGGGTGTCAAGTTGCTGTATACAGAGAGTAGTTGTAAATAGATGTGGGGATGAAGTAGCTTCCAAAGAAATAGAGTTGACTGTCTGGGAACTTTTTTATCGAGACACTACCCTGAAATTGACTGCGTTGTCGAATCTGCTTCCATTTTTGGCTAATACTATGGTTCTTGGCTTATCACATTTTGTCTGAGGTGCATATGCAAGCTGTTACTTTACGAACGGATAGATAAAAAGAATTGGAAGCTCTACCCTATATGACAAAGGAATTGACTAATCTTACAACAGCCTGCTGTAAATCTATTCGATCTTGGAATAGGTTGTTGGGCCTGTTGGTTTGATGCCAGTAACTTTCATGCTCCATGGGGCTTATCAGCCAAGAACTTGGCCTGCTGACGTGCATAATAATACCAAATACATTGGCATGTCAGACTGGAAGTTGTGAACTGTTGCTTATCCCTTCCGAAGGTTATCGGGTAGTAAAAAGTAATATCCAAGCGATTACACCTCGGCGTTCCATCACCGACGTTACAATCGCCAAGCAGCCCAGGACCTTGTGATTACTTACATCTTACAAAACTGCATGGGATTTACGAAATACCATACAGGTTGCGCCATGTGGATCTTTCCCTGTCAAACTGTCCGACAGGCACTCTAGAAGCAAGGTCGCGGCAGATAATGTGTAGGGGAACGGTGGAAGGATTCAGCCGACGCATTCGATTTCGTAATTGACAGGGATACAACGGGGAGTCGGAAAAACTTGGCGTGCGGGCACTACTCGGGAGCGCTACGAGTAGCCCTTTGCGAGTCATGCAGCTTATGTTTAGAACGTGTTTAGCGTGGACTCTACTCAAGTCTCCGGGCAGAAAAGCACTCAATACTGGGTAAATAGCGTATG